TAATGGAAGTGTTATTGATGGGTCGGAATTCGTGCATTGATCTTATGCCTTGAATGGTTCCTGAACAGAAATGATCATGAGACTGCGTGAACAAATTAGATTTCTTACCTGAAACTTTGAAACGTTCATTTCTTCTGTTGAGAACTGTTTGTTTGGTTTGTTCTATATTTTCTGCAGCAAGAAAGAATAAATGAATACTAGGAGTCGCCCTATTAGTGACTTCGGTATTTGTAAATTGGTGTTGCCGAGAAAATTCATAAAATTCTTTGGGAGTAGAAATAAGTAAATTCTTTGTCAAAGTGGCACGTCGAGCGTTTGATTTTAAGACAGCACCCAAGCCGTCACCAGCGCCCTTTCCGTGTCCAGTGGCTGTGAACGTCCAACAGGCATCTAAACCGAAATCAATCTTGTGATGAATGAGATTAAGGATGTTAAAATTATTCTTGAAATGACCACTGGCTCCATCACTAGAAAAAGAAAAAACAAGTTAATATATCGTCTAGATGGCAAGATTCCTAGGAGTATTGGGTCACTCTTTCACATTCTGCTCTCATACCAAGGACCAAGCAAAAATCTTAGCGGTGCTTGCGGATATTCTTCCTCAGCCCGAGATACCTCTTTAAAATAACCAACATTTACATAAAGCTTTGTCAACTAGTCTTCTCTGATGCTAATCGCGAAGAGTAAAGCTTCTGTTTGCAGACGGTTAATACAATGGCATGTGCTCTAAGAAGAGAAGAATTCTTACCTAAGGTAATTTATTTTTTTCACCGAAGGATAGTTTTCTTTAATGAATTGTACAATTAATCTTTGGGCACAGTACACAAAGGCAGTCGTATGTTCCATGCAATCGCTTATTACGGCCAAATTTTGATGTTCTTGCCCAATTGCCAAATGCGCCGTAAAAATCGTTGCTTGATTTTGGCTAAAGAACCCTTGTTGAACCTCACGTTGCCGAAGAAGTGTGTAGTTCATAGAAAAGTCCACCTGTGCGATGATGAATGTATTGGAAGTTGATTGGCTTCGGAGTTCCTTTATATAATCACGTTGCTGACGATTGCAGTGCACATGCTGTAGAAACGCAGACCACCTCTCTTCAATCTCTGTAATAAGAGAATCAACCGAGCCGAACATTCTTTGAAGATCGAATTTGTTATTCAACTTTTTCCAGATAGTCCAGGAACAGTTGTCATCAGTGTCGATTTCGTTCTTGTTGGTGAGAATATCCACTAGGTTGTCTCTTGGACAATGTTCACATTTTTCATTAAAACAAGCTTCTGTCTCAGCACGGCAGACCATTGAAGCGATAAGATCGTTCAGATTCAGCTTTGTTGGTTTCGTTGTTGTTCTCTCCGTAGAAACTTTCCGGTAGTGACTATTCCATGCCTAGTTAGAATGAAAACTAAAGTTCTGTTAATTCAACCTCAAACACAAACCTTCAGTAACAAATTCATGTTTTCATGAATGATGCACATACATGTTTCATGCGGTGCGCCAATCTTCACGTGACGAGGTCGAAGGGAGTGGAAGGTAGATCGTTTAACAACTCCCGGAAAACGTTCTTCGAATGTTCGAAAGGCATCCAGTACCGTCATTTCCATGAACCGAACAGCAACTGGTTTCTTGTTGATCTGGATCGTATCCTTCGAATTCGATGAGACTCGACTGATGCCATCCTCACAATAGAATTCGATCACAGTATCGATCGTTTTCTGAGGCAACGATGGATTTCCACGTAAACATTGTGGATAAGTAAGACCATCATCGTTTCCTGGTAGAGTGAGTGATCGACGTGCTTGGCTTTGATTTGAACTGAACCTAATGCAAAAAAATTATTTTCATAATCAAGTTGTTTAGTTGAATGTGAAGATACACTGAGATATGACACACTTTCGACAACATACCATTTTTCTCTTTTTTGCCGACCCCATTTCTTAGGAGCTATGGTCATGAGACGAACTTGTTCTTTGTTAGTGCTCTTTTTGAATAGGGCTTTCAAACCATATAATATCTCGTCTGATTCGCTCAACAATAATCCATGTGGATTTGGATCATGTGAGACGTCAGATTTTCCTTCTAATACATCACATAGTCGCTGGAGTTTTCTATACACTTCATCCACTTTTAACCGAATAGGACGTACCATCGACCTAGGAATGAAATTTTGTATTTAATACGCGTTTATGAATTCAAGTTATTACTTGTCATGAATTGGAGAAATGTTTAGAAGTTGGAATATATTGGTGAGCTTTTCAAAAGCTTGATCTTGCTGAAAAACTAAATCATCTTCACCATTCACTGAATCATCATCCATAGGCTCAGGACCATCGTCATCATCTTCTGTAGACTTGTTGCTCTCATCATCATCCATTTCACATTGACCTTCATAGTCATCCTCTTCATCATCGTCGTTGCTTGAATTTTCTGATGATGATTCGTTGTTACTAGAACTTTGGCCTTCCGCCTCTTCAGTTGATCGATAACTTCTCATTGTCTTTGTTTCCAACGAACGACAGTTGGCACAGAGCCATCGAATATAACCACCAGACAGATCATACTGGTTCTGTAAAAATTTTGCTAATTCCAAGGAGACAGGTGTATTTCCCTTTGCAACAACTGTGGAATTTTCATGTCTAGTCGGATGTTGGCAACACTTTTGCCTTGGCATTTGAATTTCAGATGAAAAAAAAACAAATGAAAAGAAATGGAACGTGCTGGGTTTTATCTCCGATGTATGATTCATCAAAGCTTGTTATTCGTTCATGAAATATCACTGTCCTTCATGGTGCCTTTTGCTGAAAGATGTCGTTGTCCTTGTGTTGAAAGCGTACACAATGTCCCACACATTGAGGACACATTCTAAGCCTTATATGTGCTCAGGCTTGTATGGGTCAAATCAATTAAGCATGACTACGCAATCATCATCCTCATATCTGCATATCTTTCAAACAATAACCTAGCAACGGAAATTTTCGATACAAATTACCCACGGTTTTTGCAATACAAAANCATTTTTTTGGTTTGTTCTATATTTTCTGCAGCAAGAAAGAATAATTGAATATTAGGAGTCGCGCTATCAGTGACTTCGGTATTTGTAAATTGGTGTTGTAGAGAAAATTCATAAAATTCTTTGTCAAAGTGGAACGTCAGGCGGTTGATTTTAAGACAGCATCCAAGCCGTCACCTGCGCCCTTCCCATGTTTAGTGGCCATGAACGTTCAACAGGCATCTAAACCGAAATCAATTGTGTGATGAATGAGATTGAGGATATTAAAATTATTCTTGAAATGACCACTGGCTCCATCACTAGAAAAAGAAAAAATAAGTTAATATATCGTCTAGATGAAAAGATCCCTAAGAGTATTGAGTAATTCTGTCACATTTTGTTCTCATACCAAGGTCCAAGCAAATATCTTAATGGTGCTTTCGGATATTTTTCCTCAGGGCGAGGTACTTTTTAAAGTAATAAGCATTTACATAAAGCTTTTCCCCCTGTTGTGCTCTGATGCTAATCATGCAGAGTAAAGTTTCTGTTTGTACCCGGTAAATACAACGTTGTGTGCTCTAAGAAGAGAAGAATCCTTACCTAAGATAGTTTATTTTTTTCGCCGAAGGATAGTTTTCTTTAATGAATCGGACAATTAATCTTTGGGCATAGTACACAAAGGCAGTCGTATATTCCATGCGATTGCTTATTACGGCCAAATTTCGATGTTCTTGCTCAATTGCCAAATGCAGCGTAAAAATCTTTGCTGAACCTAACGCTGTCGAAGAAATGTACAGTTCATAGAAACGTCCACCTGTGCGACGACAAATGATTTTAAAGTTGATTGGCTTCAAAATTTCTTCATACAATCACGTTACTGTTGATTGCAGTATGCCTGCTGTAGAAACCCAGACCACCTTTCTTCAGTCTTGGTAATAAGAGAATCAACCGAGCCAAACATTCTTTGAAGATCAAATTTGTTATTCAACTTCTTTCAGATAGTGCAGGAGTAGTTGTCGTCAGTGTCTATTTCGTTGTTGTTGGTGAGAATATCCATTAGGTTGTCTCTTGGACAATATTCACATGTTTCATTAAAACAAGCTTCTGTCTCAGCTTTGTAGACTATTGAAGCAATAGGATCGTTGGGATTCAGGTTTGCTGTTGCTTCCTCCATATAAAGTTTCCGGTAGTGACTATTTCATGCCTAGTTAGAATGAACAATTAAGCTCTGTTAATTCAACCTCAAACACAGACCTTGAGTAACAAATTTATGTTTTCATGAATGATGTACATACATTTCTCATGTGGTGCGGCAATCTTCACGTGTCGAGGTCGAAGGGAGTGGAAAGTAGATCGTTTAACAACTTCCGGAAAACGTTCTTCGAATGTTCGAAAGGCATCCAGTGCAGTCATTTCCATGAACCGAACAGCAACTGGTTTCTTGTTAATCTGGATCGTATTCTTCGCATTCGATGAGACTCGACTGACGCCATCCTCACAGTAGAATTCGATCACAGTATCGATCTTTTTCTGAGGTAACGACGGATTTCGGCGTAAACATTGTGGATAAGCAAGACCATCATCGATTCCTGGTAGAGTGAGTGCTCGACGTACTTGGTTTTGATTGGAACTGAACCTAATGGAAAAAAATAATTTTCATAATCACGTTGTTTAGTTGAATGTGAAAATCCACTGAGAAACGACACATTTTTGACAACATACCATTTTTCTCTTTTTTGCCGATCCCATTTCTTAGGAACTATGGTCATGAGACGAACTTGTTCTTCGTTAGTGCTCTTCTTGAATAGGGCTTTCAAACCAGCTAATACCTCGTCTGATTCGCTCAATAATGGTTCATGTGGATTTGGATCATGTGAGATGTCAGGTTTTCCTTCAATGCGTCACATAGTCGCTGGAGTTTTCTATACACTTCATCCACTTTTAACCGAATAGGACGTACCACCGACCTAGGAATGAAACTTCGTATTTAATACACGTTTATGAATTCAAGTAATTACTTGTCATGAATTGAAGAAATGTTTAGAAGTTGGACTATATTGATGAGCTCTTCAAAAGCTTGACTTTGCTGAAAAATTAAATCAGCTTCACCATTCACTGAATCATCATCTATACGCTCAGCACCATCGTCATCATCGTCTATAGAGTTGTTGCTCTCATCATCATCCATTTGACATGGATCTCCATATTCATCTTCTTCATCATCATTGTTGCTTGAATTCATAAACGTGTATTAAATACGAAGTTTCATTCCTAGGTCGGTGGTACGTCCNCTTTAAGTAACTGCACATTAACAGAAGTGAAGTAAACAGATTAATGAGGTCTTCTAGGTCTTTTAGTTTTTTGTGAATTGATCAAAGGACTCCAAAAGAAGTTTTCTATCGCAAAATCATAGGTAACTTCTAACGAAAATTTTGGTTGCTAGAGTATTGTTTGAAAAACATGCATATATGAGGATGATGATTGTATAGCCACGCTTAATTGATTTGAGCCATACAACCCTGAAAGAAATAGGTAGACAAGAATCTCAGCGGTATTGAAGTTTTCCTCATGACGATTCTGTGATTTGTAGAAGAATCAAAAGATTAGATGACCTTTCATCACGTTTTATTTAAAGGTAAATGTAAATGAATGAGAAAATCAAGATGTAGTTAGACAAAGAATAGATGTGTCACTAATGGATTGGAATTCGTGCATTGATCTTATGCCTTGAAAGATTTCTGAACAGAAATGATCATGAGATTGCGTGGACAAATTAGATTTCTTACCTGCAACTTTGAAACGTTCATTTCTTCTGTTGAGAACCGTTTTTTTGGTTTGTTCTATATTTTCTGCAGTAAGAAAGAATAAATGAATAGTAGGGGTCGCGCTATCAATGACTTAGGTATTTGTAAATTGGTGTTGTCGAGAAAATTCATAAAATTCTTTCGGAGTAGAAGTAAGTAAATTCTTCGGCAAAATGGAACGTCGAGTGGTTGATTTTAAGACAGCAACCAAGCCGTCACCGGCGCCCTTCCCGTGTCCAGTGGCCGTGAACATCCAACAGGCATCTAAACCGAAATCAATTTTGCGATGAATGAGATTGAGGATGTTAAAATTATTTTTGAAATGGCCACTGGCTTCACCACTAGAAAAAGAAAAAATAAGTTAATATATCGTCTTGATGGAAAGATTCCTAAGAGTATTGAGTCATTCTGTCACAGTCTGCTCTCATACCAAGTTCTAAGCAAATATCTTAGCGGTGCTTTCGGATGTTTTTCCTCAGGGCAAGATACTTTTTAAAATAATCAGTATTTACATAAATGCTTTGCCATCTGTTCTGCTCTGATGCTAATCCTGAAAAGTAAAGTTTCTGTTTGTAGCCAACAAATACAATGTTGTGTGCTCTAAGAAGAGAAGAATCCTTACCTAAGATAGTTTATTTTTTTCACTGAAGGATAGTTCTCTTTAAGGAATTGGACAATTATTCTTTAGGCACAGTACACAACGGCAGTCGTATGTTCCATGCAACCGCTTATTACGATCAAATTCCGATGTTCTTGCTCAATTGCCAAATGCAGCGTAAAAATCTTTGCTGAACCTCACACTGTCGAAGAAGTGTGTAGCTCATAGAAAAGTCCACCTGTGCGACGACGAATGTTTTCGAAGTTGATTGGCTCCGAAGTTCCTTTATATAATCACGTTGCAGTCAGTTGCAGTATACATGCTGTAAAAACCCAGACCACCTTTCCTCAATCTCCGTAATAAGAGAATCAATCGAGCCGAACATTCTTTGAAGATCGAATTTGTTATTCAACTTTTTCCAGATAGTCCAGGAGCAGTTGCCATCGGTATCGATTTCGTTGTTGTTGGTGAGAATATCTATTAGGCTGTCTCTTGGACAATGCTCACATTTTTCATTAAAATAAGCTTCTGTCTCAGCACTGCAGACTATTGAAGCGATAAGATCGTTCGGATTGAGGTTTGTTGTTGTTTCCTCCGTAGAAACTTTCCGGTAGTGACTATTCCATGCCTAATTAGAATGAAAAATTAAGTTCTGTTAATTCAACCTCAAACACAGACCTTGAGTAACTAATTCATATTTTCATGAATGATGCACATACATGTTTCATGTGGTGCGGCAATCTTCACGTGTCGAGATCGAAGGGAGTAGAAAGTAGATCGTTTAACAACTCCCGGAAAACTTTCTTCGAATGTTCGAAAGGCATCCAGTACTGTCATTTCCATGAACCGAACAGCAACTGGTTTCTTGTTGATCTGGACCGTATTCTTCGAATTCGATAAGACTCGACTGATGCCATCCTCACAATAGAATTCAACCACAGTATCAATCGTTTTCTGAGACAACGATGGATTTCCGCGTAAACATTCTGGATAAGCCAGACCATCATCGTTTGCAGGTAGAATGAGTGATCGACGTGCTTGGTTTTGATTTGAACTGAACCTAATGCAAAAAAATGATTTTCATAATCAAGCTGTTTAGTTGAATGTGAAAATACACTGAGATACAACACATTTTTGACAACATACCATTTTTCTCTTTTTTGCCGACCCCATTTCTTAGGAGCTATGGTCATGAGACGAACTTGTTCTTCGTCAGTGCTCTTCTTGAATAAGGCTTTCAAACCATCTAATATCTCATCTGATTCGCTCAGCAATAGTTCATGTGGATTTGGATCATGTGAGACGTCAGGTTTTCCTTCTAATACGTCACATAGTCGCTTGAGTTTTCTATACACTTCATCCACTTTTAACCGAATAGGACGTACCACCGACCTAGGAATGAAATTTGGTATTTGGTACACGTTTATAAATTTAAGTAATTACTTGTCATGAATTGAACAAATGTTTAGAAGTTGGAATATATTGGTGAGCTTCTCAAAAGCTTGACCTTGCTGAAAAATTAAATCATCTTCACCATTCACTGAATCATCATCCATAGGCTCAGGACCATCGTCATCATCGTCTATAGACTTGTTGCTCTCATCATCATCCGTTTCACATGAATCTTCAGATTCATCTTCTTCATCGTCATTGTTGCTTGAATTCTCTGATGCTGATTCGTTGTTACTAGAACTTTGCTCTTCCGCCTCTTCAATTGATCGATAACTTCTCATTGTCTTTGTTTCCAACGTACAACAGTTGACACAGAGCCATCGAATATAACTACCAGAAAGATCATACTGATTCTGTAAAAATTTCGCTAATTCCAAGGAGACAGGTGTATTTCCCTTTGCAACAACTACGGAATTTCCATGTCTAGTCGGATGTTGACAACACTTTTGCCTCGGCATTTGAATTCCAGATGAAAAGATATGATATGAAAAGAAATCGAACGTGCTGGGTTTTATCGACGATAGTATGATTCATCTAACCTTGTTATTCGTTCATAGAATATCACTGTCCTCCATGGTGCCTATTGCTGAAAGATGTCCTTGTCCTTCTGTCGAAAGTGCACACATTGTCCCACACATTTAGGACACATTCTAAGCCCTATATGCGTTCAGGGTTGTATAGCTCAAATACATTAAGCGCGGCTACACAATCATCATCCTCATATATGCATGTTTTTCAAACAATACTCTAGCAACCAAAATTTTCGTTAGAAGTTACCTATGATTTTGCGATAGAAAACTTCTTTTGGAGTCCTTTGATCAATTCACAAAAAACTAAAAGACCTAGAAGACCTCATTAATCTGTTTACTTCACTTCTGTTAATGTGCAGTTACTTAAAGCTCTTCAAAACATCGACATGTACCGAGAAAACGACCTAGAAGTCACGATTTCCATCAGAAAAGACCCTACTTTTTTTTCTTTTAAAGCCTTTTTTAGACTTGTTTGATAGATTCAGGAGAAAAAATGGCATAAGAGACCTTATTTCTGTGCTTGATTCACTTCTATTCATGTAAAACCAGCAAAACTATTCAAAACATCGACGTGTTCCGAGAAAACGACCTAGAAGTCACAATTTTTATCAGAAAGGTGATCATTTTTTTTTGATGAAATACGTTTTCTAGACCCCTTTGGTCTTTTCAGCGAAAAAAAATTGAGATAAAAAACTTTTTCCAAAAATTGGTAGGGTATCCATGGATATACCCAAGTATATTTCAAGACGTGTGAGGTAGTAAAAATAATGAAAGAAGTTACTTTTATTGAAAAGTCGAATGCATTTCTTTCATCTGAAAAAAAGACTTCAAACGTCTTTTAAGGTTTTCCGATCAGTTTTTTGAAATTTTTATTTCAAAAAGATGGTTTAAAAACTTCTAAATATATACAGTTTTGTAGAGCTCGACGAGCTCTATGAAACTACATAAAAATATCCAAGAAAAAAGTGTTACTCCATTTTTGAATTACTGGAACCTTAACTTTCCACTCCCAAAAACATAACATTTCTGAAAATTTCTTAAGTTTAACTTTGAAAAGTCTACATAACCTTTACTATCTAGTATCAATGAATTCAGTTTTTCTCACGCTTTAGTTTGGTATAAAATGCATTTGTACTATCCTTGATAATTAAAGTTGTAGAGGGAGACGTAAAGATTATGTGACACCCTGTATTCATTTACTTACGCTCATCCTCATTAATGCGGTGCGAAGCACAACATTTATGCAGCTCTCGGCGAGTTTTCTTTGTTTTTTTACTTTCTCGACGTGCGCATCAAAAGTCGCCATTTTCGATCGTTATGATCTAGGGAACGGAATGTCAGAAAAAATTCGTTGAAACGTGAGTCGAAAGTGTCGAGATCGCACTAGTACCATTTTCTCCGATGTCATGTCGGATGTTCCTTTCTCTCATAAATGACATTCAAAAAAGACGATTTTCAAAGGAATTAGTTTTGAGATAATTAAAATGAAGCTAGCAAGAAACGTTAGCCGCAAATCGTATCATGTAGATAATTAATCGATCAACCGATATCTTTCTTTTAAAGAAAATTGTTAGGTCTCGATAGAGTTCTCGTAGAGATGAATTTAGCCATGTCTGATTTTTAACTGCTTTTTTCATTCTATCAGCTGATCGTTAAAAAACTAAGTTTTCCGGATTCATATACTGAAGCAAATCCTCATGCATGCCAAAAATCGTCTAATGAAAAATCGTCATATTACAAAGTACACAAACAATTTTTGATTTGTTACGAAATATCAATTTTCTCGATACAGCCGAAATTCGTGCTTCGCACCGCATTTCGTAATCGAGTGAAACTCGATTACCATCTAGTTTTTTTATGCAACTCTGTTTGACGAATTTAAATAATGAGTCATTTTCACATGAGTCAAGTCAAATCGAATGATTTTTATCCCAATTATTTGCGGGAAGAAACCCACGATAACCTTTCAAATGATTTTTTTTGCGTTCTGTTTACCGCTTTCTATCAACAAATGCTCTATGCTTTGCTTGTCATAGGTATAAAAGGCACAAAAAAAGGCAGAAGTATTTTAACGAATCACAACAAAAGTCTTTTCAATGTCAATCTTTCATACGATTGAACCTAAAGATATTTGGCTTGGAGATCATTTGTATATCTGGTCGTCACCGTTACATCAACATCACGGAATCGTTTTATTTGTTAATAGTCAAGATTATGACGAGTCCGAAATTTTGGAGTTTAATACGTTTGATGGAAGTCACAAACCCTCTCGTGCTGTTGTTCAAAAGGTTTCACTCAAAAGTTTTCGGAAAAACTGCACATTGAAGCGTGTCGTGTACGGTTCTAGCTATGCTGGTTTCAAATTAGCCGGCACTGCATATAAATTTCAATCACTTAAACCAGAAGTCGTGGTCGATAATGCTCAGCACATTCTAGAACAAGTAATATTTGGAGAATGTCTTATTGTTCCTACGGAACCAGCATCACCAACATTATCATCCTCTCACTATGATCTGATTTTACGTAATTGTGAATGTTTGGCTTTCTGGTGCAAGACGGGCATGTGGTATAGTGAACAAATTGAAAAGGTTGTTCATTGGATAGCCACACCATTAATGACTTTTCTTAAAGTCATTGGCGATTACTTGATTATTAAACAAATTATGTCTGCACTCGGCCAAGAAGCAATGAGTGAACTGATTGAAAGCTCCTTGTGTATTTTCAAAGACAAATTTTGTTCGACACTGTTGGCGGAAGGTATAGGCAATGCAATAGCCTTTGTTATTGTCGATTTACTAAAGCTTATATTTCGTTATAAACAATACAAAAATGGGCAGATGACACAGGAAGAATTTTTGAAGAAAACAATTACGACTCTTGCCAAAGATTTGACCATTGGTGTTCTTGCATTTGCCATTCAAGCACTACTAACTCATTTTTCATTTGGTTCTGCAGCTCTGTGTCCTTGGATTGGTGGGTTTGTTGGTAGTGTTATTGGATCCTTTGTTGGAAATATTCTCGGTCATTTATTAGTCAATGGAATCGCACAATTGCAAGATGAACGAGTGCCGTCGATTGATTGAAATCTCTCAGGATCGTGTGTTATAATATGCGTGATCCATGTTAATGTTATCGTCAAGCCGATCAACCTTAGAGTCAAACGCCGTCGAAGCACGAACATCTGAACCGGATATAGATCCCTCATAGGCATGCACCAAAACCAAAACCGGTTTTGAAGTTTTAGTCCAAAACTTTTGGTTTTGGTATAGTTTTGGTTTTGAGGTTTTGGTTTTGACATAGTTTTGGTTTTGGTGGTATCGGTTTTGGTCAAGTTTTGGTTTTGGTTTTGGTTTTGAGATGTCTGAGAAAACCTGATTTTGGAAAGAAACTACAGAATATATCATGTGTTCCTATAAATCTTTTAATATCCGTTATTTTTAATTATACTTGTTATAAAACACAATACTTAACGATTTTTTTTAGAAGCCATCCTCACCCACTTAGAAAAAAAATTAGTTACAGCTTTGTTGATTAGAATTCTGTTGAGATATGGAGACCATTGATCTATCATTGAATACACGGAGACCTTATCTTGATTGATAATTTTCAAGGTTTTTTTAAAGGCTTTAGTCAAATTCTCAAATTCAAGATGTTCTTTTTCAAAGCAATATTTTCTGTTGACATTTCAATCGAAACAGCATAAGCACTGCGGACCGCCATGACTGTGAATAGTCTTTGGAAGTATAAAACCAATCACAGTTTCACCTTTCGAACATGAAAGTTAAAATTCTGCCTATTTTTGAATCCATATGGCTAATACAGCGTCAAGGAATCCTTTAGTAGATGACATATATGAATCAGTGCCTGCGCTCTGAGGGTGTGGGTGTGAGTTTTGGAAATGAGATGAGAAATACTTACCCACACCCAACCCCGCACAGGTTTCCTTGTTTGGCGTTGTTGCCTTCGGAGAGCCTCTCGAGCTATACGCTATTGTTGTCGCATAGTCTCCCTTGCTATACGGTCTGGTGGGCAGCTAGTCATACTCACCTGATGAAGTTAGTATCAATGCAAATTATTTCTTCAACAACTTCGTCTCCTTCCCTTCCTTTTCTGATGTCTTTTTCCCCTGCTGAAATTTTTTCTTTCCTGCATGAACTCAACGGAGTAAACAAGAAACATTACAACTTATAATATTTCACTTAAGAAAAGGGTTGAAAAGAATAATAAAATGACAAATAAATGTCACATGGCATCATCATACGACAACAATCGTCATGTATACACATCTGGCTAATTTAAATCAGTTTTGTAAAACCTTCGGGTATGGATGAGGGTGTGTGTGTGTGCGTATTAACTTCACTCGCAGTCGTATCCCACACGCCCACGCCCCAATTCAAAAGTGATTGGTTAGTTAACAAAGTTTCCTCTTAAGATAAAACTCTCTATTAAAGACATCGTATAGAAATATGAATATTAGAAGCAAATTAGCAATGATGTTCTTTGTATTATGAATCTTTAAATATTGTTCTTTCAATATCACAGAGTTGCTAGTATTAATCGTGCGTGGGTGTGGGTGTGGGGTGTGGGTGTGGGTGTGGGTGTGGGTGTGGGTGTGGGTGTGGGTGTACTTATGTGGGAGTTGGAGTCACTGAAAAG